ATACGCAAGTAATAGTTCTTTCAGAAACGGTTAAATAAGAAAAAATACAGTAACGAGTTGCTTAAATTTCCCGGCTACATATGGTATCACAGTTAGATTTTTAATTGTCATAAATGGCAAAAAGCTTAATTTTTTGAGTAGGGATGGGATATACAAATTCCTCTTCATTTAATCTTATCCCGAGCATACATTGAAAATGATTATATTCATTCTATATGAACAGTAATTATTATAATAACTTTTTTCTCAACTGCAAAATAAAAAATAGTATATTATTAGATTATTTTTTATAGTTTTTCAGTCACGACGTCAAAAAGCAGACAATATTAATCGAGTAAAATGTCTTTCTTAGCAGCTATCGCATAGCGAATTTGTGAGTTTGGAAATATGATTTATGATTATTAAATTACAATGAATATATGCATAACAAAGAAATATCAAGAAAAATGCTGTGTAAATACTTGTTTGCGCTACATGAAATGTGCTTATTTATTTTTACCTAAATTACAATTTGTGAATTTTTTTAAATATAAAATGTACATTTATCAATTTTTTAATTGCTTTATGTAACTTTTAAGTGTTCATACTTTTCGTAAACAACTATAAATGCTACATGTAAACAATAGTTGAGTACCACTTCATAAAATATTTTGAAATAAACGATTCATATCCTTTTTTAATTGCAAAATCATGAGAGTTTCGTACCTACTTAAATATTGTCTACTTATTGTTAACCTTATGTTGAATGTTGATTAAAGTCAAAGATAATTAAAATGTACTTTAGTTTAGAATGATTCTGTACACAGAAATATTCTAAAAACAAATATGTATTTTGATTAATCAAGTGTTCTAATTAAGTGTTACAAGGAGTTTATAACTGTGTGAAAAATACGATAAAGCGTGGTTCTCGTTTCAGATTAAGTCAGAGAGAGAAAAAAAACACAAATAAATATTTAATGCTGAACTGGAACAAGGGGAAAATGTTGTTTGAATTTAAGTAAGGGTTTTATTTTCTTAAAAACTGTTACTTTGTCTCTTTATTAACAGTTTTTTTTGTAACGAATATTAGTAATGCCGAAAAAAGACGAGATTCGAATGATGGAATTACGATGTGTTGTTTTAAAAAGATATACTATCGATTAGATAGTTTGTTTATCTCCTTCTAAACATTGAAACAATAAAATATACTATAAACTCTTCTGAAAATAAATGACTGTAGTTTGATTGTTTATTCTGGTACACATCTCTGACAAATATGAGTTATAAAATAATATGATATCATGTCTCGTATCCATAACTGCAAAAGGAATTATTTAGTGTATTTATATATTACATTGGCGTGAACTCAGAGAAAATTCGATATTATTGAGGGTAATAGGGACGAATGAAATTTGTTCTTCTTTTTCTGACTTTTAGGATATTTTAACTATGTTTTGCCGAAGAAAGGCAATGTTATTAGTAATATTTATTTATTTATTCAATATTACTTGTAACAATGCTAGAAGTAAATAGATTTTCGATTTACTAACTTATTTCAATTTAACTTAAGATATTAATATTGGAATTAAACATGAAAAGTAAAATTTAAACACGTGGCTACTTATACATACAGTATGTATACTCAATTAATTATTTATATTAGATCCATACATTTTTGGAAAAGTTATAAGTCAAAACCAATTTTGAGTCCTTAACATTGGTTTTTCTTATTATTTGCTAGTAGTTTTCGTATTTACATTTTCAATTGCTACTAACGAGGAGGATTTGGAATACACTGGGAGATTCATATTTTGTCCCCAGATCAACAGTCTTAATTAATCACGTGGTATCTCTATATTAGTACGATTAACTATATTAGTATGATTAATTATCAATTTATTTAGCAATTCTTATTTATTTAAATTATATTCAGAAAATTTAAAACAATGGGATCGGTTATTGAATATTTATAAGCATTAAGTAAAATGATACTTTGAAATACGTACAATAATTCAAGATATATATTTCCAAATCATTTATCATTTTTCTAACTTATAAAAATTAAGTAAACTATCTTTCCGGGATAGAGCCTAGGCCTAAATAGCTGACAGATACGACGTATGATAGTCAGTCATACAAGTTCAGAGATGGAGAATGTCAGTGGATGGCATGCCTTCCCAGAAATTGTCAGTGTAAATTGGTGACCACAGTGTCTGTCAAAAATGTGTAGAGGCATGCTACTTGGAACGTGGAAAGTTTACCGCACGCTCTATGCATCAAGATCAGTGTATTATTCATTTATTCTGTCTTAACTTCCTTCAAATTTCGCTATAATTGTACAAAAAAGTAAGTAAATTAAAACAAATGTAATGCGTTCAACACAGTAAATTTAAATATAATACCGAACTCTTACACAACTGTTACACTACTGTTATATGAATGAACCTAATTAGGAATATTACAAATTTTTTTTATCTATTTCCTAGAGATCAATTATATTGCATGGCAACGAGTTCAACTATATTGGTGGTTCATTTTCGTGTAGAGCATTCATTTCTTTGTTGTAAAATGTCCTTCAAAAAATTACAATTTTTTTCAAGAAATTTTTTCTATGTAAGCAAATCGATTAACAAAGTAGGACGACCGTACTAATAACGTTATTCCCATATTCTTTAGCAGATAAAATTATAATTTTGAAAATAAACATTGTCTGTAAGTATTTTGAACAATACAATATACTGTACTGTAATTCTTATTTTTTTTGTAACGGATTAAATTTTCATCTCTCGTAAAAGATATCGTGGAAAAGTAGTTATGAACGAAAGGTACATATCGTAATATATAGTTTTAACCGTCCTGCCTGCTTGATAATAAGTTCTCACATTTTATTTTATATTTTGCAAAATTTTCAAATAGTTTTTTTACAGTTATGCTACTCCTCACTCTCCTGTAGTTACTAAATGTTAGTTTTTAATTGTATAATAATTTTTAAACAATACTGTCACTTTCGTTCTCTGTCTTATCTGTGCATATGTACTGTATATATAGTTGGCTTATTGATTAAACATATTCATCCAATTTATTGTGAATTGTTGAGTTAGCTATTTATATCAAAATAGTTGTTTACAATGATAATTCATTTTATCTTTTGATTAGATTAAATTCTTAAGTATTTATTAGATTTGATATTTTTATCTTAAGTTTATTTACAAACGAAATTAGTTATTATAAAATGGATTTATAACTTTTTATTTAAAAGATGTGATAATTTAATTAATTATAAATTTATCTTTCATCTTTCATTCCTAAGTATTGTTTTATTCTTATTTTATTTCTTTATATAAAAATATTGCAGTTAAAAGATACTACATAAATAACGAATGCAAGTTCGACAAAAAGAAAATAAGTTTTGTTATTGACAACGTTAAATAAAACTCAAAATAAATAGTATTTGTTAAAATATTAAGCTCAAGNTGTAATGCTGAACTGGAACAAGGGGAAAATGTTGTTTGAATTTAAGTAAGGGTTTTATTTTCTTAAAAACTGTTACTTTGTCTCTTTATTAACAGTTTTTTTTGTAACGAATATTAGTGATGCCGAAAAAAAGACGAGATTCGAATGATGAAATTACGATGTGTTGTTTTAAAAAGATATACTATCGATTAGATAGTTTGTTTATCTCCTTCTAAACATTGAAACAATAAAATATACTATAAACTCTTCTGAAAATAAATGACTGTAGTTTGATTGTTTATTCTGGTACACATCTCTGACAAATATGAGTTATAAAATAATATGATATCATGTCTCGTATCCATAACTGCAAAAGGAATTATTTAGTGTATTTATATATTACATTGGCGTGAACTCAGAGAAAATTCGATATTATTGAGGGTAATAGGGACGAATGAAATTTGTTCTTCTTTTTCTGACTTTTAGGATATTTTAACTATGTTTTGCCGAAGAAAGGCAATGTTATTAGTAATATTTATTTATTTATTCAATATTACTTGTAACAATGCTAGAAGTAAATAGATTTTCGATTTACTAACTTATTTCAATTTAAGTTAAGATATTAATATTGGAATTAAACATGAAAAAGTAAAATTTAAACACGTGGCTACTTATACATACAGTATGTATACTCAATTAATTATTTATATTAGATCCATACATTTTTGGAAAAGTTATAAGTCAAAACCAATTTTGAGTCCTTAACATTGGTTTTTCTTATTATTTGCTAGTAGTTTTCGTATTTACATTTTCAATTGCTACTAACGAGGAGGATTTGGAATACACTGGGAGATTCATATTTTGTCCCCAGATCAACAGTCTTAATTAATCACGTGGTATCTCTATATTAGTACGATTAACTATATTAGTATGATTAATTATCAATTTATTTAGCAATTCTTATTTATTTAAATTATATTCAGAAAATTTAAAACAATGGGATCGGTTATTGAATATTTATAAGCATTAAGTAAAATGATACTTTGAAATACGTACAATAATTCAAGATATATATTTCCAAATCATTTATCATTTTTCTAACTTATAAAAATTAAGTAAACTATCTTTCCGGGATAGAGCCTAGGCCTAAATAGCTGACAGATACGACGTATGATAGTCAGTCATACAAGTTCAGAGATGGAGAATGTCAGTGGATGGCATGCCTTCCCAGAAATTGTCAGTGTAAATTGGTGACCACAGTGTCTGTCAAAAATGTGTAGAGGCATGCTACTTGGAACGTGGATAGTTTACCGCACGCTCTATGCATCAAGATCAGTGTATTATTCATTTATTCTGTCTTAACGTCCTTCAAATTTCGCTATAATTGTACAAAAAAGTAAGTAAATTAAAACAAATGTAATGCGTTCAACACAGTAAATTTAAATATAATACCGAACTCTTAGACAACTGTTACACTACTGTTATATGAATGAACCTAATTAGGAATATTACAAATTTTTTTTATCTATTTCCTAGAGATCAATTATATTGCATGGCAACGAGTTCAACTATATTGGTGGTTCATTTTCGTGTAGAGCATTCATTTCTTTGTTGTAAAATGTCCTTCAAAAAATTACAATTTTTTTCAAGAAATTTTTTCTATGTAAGCAAATCGATTAACAAAGTAGGACGACCGTACTAATAACGTTATTCCCATATTCTTTAGCAGATAAAATTATAATTTTGAAAATAAACATTGTCTGTAAGTATTTTGAACAATACAATATACTGTACTGTAATTCTTATTTTTTTTGTAACGGATTAAATTTTCATCTCTCGTAAAAGATATCGTGGAAAAGTAGTTATGAACGAAAGGTACATATCGTAATATATAGTTTTAACCGTCCTGCCTGCTTGATAATAAGTTCTCACATTTTATTTTATATTTTGCAAAATTTTCAAATAGTTTTTTTACAGTTATGCTACTCCTCACTCTCCTGTAGTTACTAAATGTTAGTTTTTAATTGTATAATAATTTTTAAACAATACTGTCACTTTCGTCCTCTGTCTTATTTGTGCATATGTACTGTATATATAGTTGGCTTATTGATTAAACATATTCATCCAATTTATTGTGAATTGTTGAGTTAGCTATTTATATCAAAATAGTTGTTTACAATGATAATTCATTTTATCTTTTGATTAGATTAAATTCTTAAGTATTTATTAGATTTGATATTTTTATCTTAAGTTTATTTACAAACGAAATTAGTTATTATAAAATGGATTTATAACTTTTTATTTAAAAGATGTGATAATTTAATTAATTATAAATTTATCTTTCATCTTTCATTCCTAAGTATTGTTTTATTCTTATTTTATTTCTTTATATAAAAATATTGCAGTTAAAAGATACTACATAAATAACGAATGCAAGTTCGACAAAAAAAATAAGTTTTGTTATTGACAACGTTAAATAAAACTCAAAATAAATAGTATTTGTTAAAATATTAAGCTCGAGCCTGACTCGAGCGGATTTCATAGCTTTATGAGCAAACAGATTTTTAGCCCTTCTAGGAAAAATAAACATTATTTTGAATTTTCGGATGTTTTTTCAGGTGTTGAAATTTTTTCAAAAATTTTTCTCGCGTAAAAAAATTAAATTGCAATTTTAATTTGCCTGTAATGACGGTTAATTGATTTTTATGGGATTTTTTTTTTCAAATTTCATTTATCGTTCTAAAGTTCTTGTGCACAGATTTTACTTTGGTAAAGTTATTTAAAGCTACTTTCTGATATCAAAAACGACCTTCAATCGTTTTATAATTTTTTTAATTAACAGATTTCATTATACATACGTTTAATTACGTCGGGAGGGTCGGAAATCGCAATAAAAAAACGTAATTATTGAAAAATATTTAAAAATATTCGGCCAGCTAGTATTCACCCTACTTTACTCTCTTCTCCTCCTGGAAATTTATGAGAATGTTCCGCGAAAGACGATACCAGCTGTTCTCAAGGTCATTTATCTGTAAACACAATTACTCATCAGCGTCAAATTTCACGGAAAGGCGAGACAATGGAAGACAAACTTCGAAGCTTTCTCTTCCAAATTAACCTATTTCTTTTGTTTTTTTCAGTTTTAAGTATTTTTTATGTTCAATTAAAGATTTTAAAATATAAAGTAGGAATAAAAGACTTAAAAATGGTGATAATAATATGAAACTATAGTTGAACACTTTCCACGAATTTTAAATGAATTTAATTTAATGTTAATTATATTTAATTTGTATAAATTCATTTTACTTAATTTTACGTTATAATAGTTTTAAACAATGGCGTAGCATAGTGGGGGCGGCAGGGGCTGCACTTTTTAGGGTGCAGCAAAATTTCACAATAAATAATAATAATATCTTGTAAAAATTTCAACCATTTCATTACATATTTTCGTCGCACCTACGATTCGGACCGATTGAGATGAGTAATGGGGATAGTGTTACCATCCGGACAGAACAGGAATCGACTCATCGTCGGAGTGAGCTATTAATTTTACCCGGCGATACCGTGCGAAAACCTGTCGACCCGTTTTTTTGTTTGTACGATTGAGTCGTACTCATATACACCTCCAATGTCCAATAGGGCTAAGTCATCTAGGTTACTTACGTTATTCCTACCCAAGTCTACCTAGTCGATAACTGTAACTAGTTGAGAACCGGCATGCACTGCACATTATTCTTTGCATTGCGAAATGACATACGCATGCATCAAGAACTTCTATTGAAACAAACTTCACCTACCGTCCAGATCAGCGATTTTAGAAAGGTGGCAGCACTAGCATAGAATTTTTCATTACTTATACTGTGACAAAACTGAATTTCAGTCTTTTAAATCGAGATAACTAAATAAGGGGACAGCGAAATTTTCCTTTGCCTCGGGCGGCTTACACCCACGCTACACAACTGGTTTAAAAACACTGATAATGAATGAATACTACTTTTTTCTGTTCATTTTTTAACATTATGATTTTATGAAAAGCATTAAAAAAACTCAAATGTTTTAATGTGTTCTTACAAATCATATTTAACTTTTAATGCAAACTAGAAATTTACGTTAATCTATTTTTAAGGAAAATTCTGTTTTCCTATAGTACTTGATTTATTATTTTAANTGACCGAGCAAAATCAAACTTTGTTTATATTCACATATATAAAATCTTACCTCTTTACTGGCTTCCATACGGCCTTGAAAAAAGATCCGGCTTTATCTAATGTTTTTCTTTTATTATCAGCACACCCAACATTATATCCAATGGTGTTCGAATTTTCCATGTATCCTTCGTGCTTGCTGACGCCTTCATTCTTTCTGATGTTCCTTGGACGACCCATAATATCATCACTCATATCATAATCGTCCTGATCTTCAACCAATCGCTGACTAAAAGTAGAAAGAAAATATTTACAATGCAGTAAATATTTATAAAACTTATAGAGAAATTATAATACATTATTTCAGAAACATTTTATTATATATTTCCCAAAATTTTTAATGAAATCAACAAATTATCGCTCAAATGTCTCTTAATTAATTAATTAAGTTATGGCAACGCAACACGTAGACGATCTGCCTAGGGAGAATGCCTTCTGATTCAGGACTAAAGTTTCGATGCTTTCTGACGTTATTAACGTTATTACTATTTTGTGGACGTGTAGAGCCTCCTTTAATTCAAATTCAAAGTTATGTGCAGAACTCTTTAATGTATGTAATTCTTATCTGAGATTTTCAGTTTAATGCCGATCTCAGGGGTGGACAGTAGCGCTTTATCGAACTTTAAATATATATAGAAAATGCAAATATCGCTTAACGATGTACTCAATAACATCACGACAGAGGTCCATAGTTTTTATTAGAGCCGAAAAACACGTAGACACTTGTTCCTTTTTTACGTGTAGATAAATACAGATAGATATATAAATAATTATCATCATTGTGTTTCATATATGGAGTGACTATATATTCATTACCTAAACAAGGAGAGTTCTGAAGAATGAGAGAAAAATATGTCTAATAATAACTATTTTAAAAATCTAGTAACGGGTAGCTTAACTTTCTTGGTAACATTTGTTGGCTCCATACGCTACAATATTTTACTTAAAAACTTTTAACATTTTTAACTTTAAGAAAATAATGGAAACGCTTAATTTTGAGGGTAGGGTTAAGTTTTATAGAAAGTTTTCAAATGCTAACAAAGAGTAAAATCGTTGTTTGGTCTGACCCTGTTTGAGATAAAACAAATCACTCCTTTTAACTTTTCACCCCTCGACCTATCACTACCATAATTTGACACCATCGATGCTTCTAATACACAGACCTCCCTAAAAGATTTCTAAAATTTTCACCAAAAAGCACAGGAGTTATTACGCTTCAAAGAAAATAAACAAAATCGTGCCTTGAAATACATACACACACACGTCCATCTATACATGCATAAAAAGCCGCGAATATTGTTGAATTTCTGGACGTTTCAAGATCCCCAGGTTCTTGTAAAATTCATGATATGTAAAAGACTTAGGAATCATTATTTGACCGATCGCTATACTTTTCCTCTATTATATACAACAGAGCCGAAAAAGTAAAAATAATTTAGTCACTATAAATTTGTCAGATTGAATTACAAGTAATATTAATGAATCCTATTTATATTTGTGATGTCTAAAAACAAGAGAAAATTGAGACATGTGTTCATCCTGCACATATAATTTCTACGAATGGTAAAATATAATATATAAATTAACGTAAGTGATTTCAGATGTATCTGAAATCACTTACGTTAAGTGATTTCAGATGTATTTTACGTATTTTATGTATTTTATGTAGATTACGTAAGTGATTTCAGATGTATCTGAAATCACTTACGGTGTAGTAAGGAATGGTCCGTATGACCATATTTTATTATATTGTACTTTAATATAAATTAACTANTCACTTACGTTAAGTGATTTCAGATGTATTTTACGTATTTTATGTATTTTATGTAGATTACGTAAGTGATTTCAGATGTATCTGAAATCACTTACGGTGTAGTAAGGAATGGTCCGTATGACCATATTTTATTATATTGTACTTTAATATAAATTAACTATATTCTCAAAGTACATTCCTGACCTTTAGCAGCTAATTCCGTACTATATTAAAAGATTGTATAACTGTATTATACTTTTGTTCACCTTGGTCATTTTTTGTGTACTACGATTTCGTATAATAAAAAAAAAAACACAATTTCGAATTAAAGTATATATTCTGTCTATATTGTAATGTACATAAAAAATTTTATATGTCACTACGATGGAGCATTTCGGGTCAACGTTCCTCTACATCAGATATTATAATTTTTATGTTTATAGTTTAATATACCGATATGTATCTTTCAACATTTTCGGAACAGATATTTGATAGTATAATTAACATTATAATATTAACAGTATAATTTACTGTCTATATTGAAATGTACATAAAAGATTTTATATGTCACTACAATGGAGCATTTCGGGTCAACGTTCCTCCTCATCAGATATTATTATTTTTATAGTTTAATATACCCATATAATTCTTTTAACATTTTCGGAATAGACTTTTGAAATGCCATTTTTTGAATTTTTTCAGCAAAACTTTTTCTAAATATTTTTCTGTTTATTACAACACAGTTTCATTCACTGAAACATCAGTAATTTGTTAAACGAATTACCAACCCTTCATCTCACTGACTAATTATCTAGCTCACACTATCTTACTCTGCAGCTGTTATGGACATAATAAAATACAAGCCTAAAAAGGTAACGTCTGCTGAGAAGAAACATTAGCCCGAAATACTCGATTGTAGTATAATAGCATATAAGATTATGTTGCAGTAAATATATTTTAATTGGAAATAATGTGTTTCGTTTTCCTCATTATAAGAAGTCCAAAGTAGACTTCCACTTTAAACTTGTTATAATGACACAAAAATGTCTGAAGTAAATAAATTATAATATAAATAATGAAAAACAAGAAACACGTATCAACATATTTTATAACTATATTCCATATAAACAGTAATATAACTTACCTGTTAAAGCGATCGCACGAAATTTCGTATAACGGCCGAATCTTTTCTATTGCTTGTTTACACGCAGGATTAATGTGGTTTTTCAAGATTGACGTTCCAAATTGAATATTTGCGGGTTTATCCTGCTTCAATAGGCCTTTTTTCTTGCCCCGATATTTAAAATGATCCAAATTTTTTGGACTTACAAATCCCGCACGTCCATCAGATTTTGCCCTGAAAATGGGAAGAAAAAATTTATATAACACAATAAATGTTAAATACCGAAACCTTTATTCTAATTTTAAAATCGAATATACAAAAATTTGCCAATGAGTACTTATGTAAACTTTTAGAAAAATTATTACACTCTAAAAACACTTTTCATTTAATGTCTAACAAAAGTTCTAATCAAACTGTAAGCTAAAACATCGCTTACGGGAGTCGTGAAATTTTATTAATTTGAGTGAGGGAAAGAATTTTTTACAAATTAACCTTAAATCTTTATCAATCATCTTATTATAAAACAAGATATGATAAAATTTAACAACTTATAAATTATACCTTTTAACTACTGATTTATTAAGATTTGACAATAGATATGTAAATTCATCTGTTACGTGTAGTGAATCGAAAAGGCTACAGATGAAAAATAAGTCTATTAAATTAGGTTCATAAATTTAAAAACGTATTTTGTTTTCTTTTTCTAAGTAACAGTAAATGTAAAAAGCCCTAAAATATATTTACTTAGCACAAGACCTTAAACTCTCAGCAGTTAAACTCACATCCAAATCCAACATTTTAATTTCAACACCAAAATGATTACAGGATACAGCAAAACACAAAAATGTTTGCTTAAAAACTACATTCAGAAATATCGAAGAGTCGAAATGTTTAAATCAATTTAAATTAGTTATCGTTTGCACAGAGCAATTTCATTTTAATGCCATTAATTTTTCGAATTAATTTCTTATTTGAATAAATAACAATAAAATGTGAAAAATCTCTTACTCGAAAGGTTCAGGCAAGGGATGATAATTAAAAGAATCAAATAACATCTTTAAATAACTTGAAAATCGCACTCTTGACAATAGCAGAGCCAAACAATGAAAGATCAATTGTTGAGTTTCTTTGTTACGCGTTACTTGAAGAAGTAAGAAATTTTAATGATTAATTTGTAATTTTATTTTCTATTTTGAATTTTTGAATTAGTTCCTGTGTAATAATAAATAAAGGGCAATAAAGGTCTTGGCCCATTTCTCTGGAAAAGTTAGAATCGAATCCGGGCGAGCAACTTTCTAAGAATTTTTCATTAAAGATCTATCTTAGATACGTTAAGCCCAGTCTCTCACCATTGTAGTTTGAAACATACCTACCATTATGGGCATGGTTCAACCCACAATGAACAGGATTGATAGTATTTTAGAGTTGCCTACCTGAGTCTGAGTGGAAAAAGTATTGAATTTTTGTAGCTTTTCGTCAGTTTGCGCCTCGCCGACAAACTGACAACGTAGAACTTTTCGAGATTTCTACACGTTTGTAACACCTAAATAAGAATTAGTTTTTCATTTCATTTTTTTTCCGAGAAGCACTTCTNATTTTGATAATAACTACACAATTATAATTAATTATACTTTTATTTATTAAAGTTTAGTTACAATGTTGTTCAATAAAGTAATCAATAAACTATAAAGTATCATAAAATCAGTGAAATATAGGTAATGAAATAAGTCTGAGTGGAAAAAGTATTGAATTTTTGTAGCTTTTCGTCAGTTTGCGCCTCGCCGACAAACTGACAACGTAGAACTTTTCGAGATTTCTTCACGTTTGTAACACCTAAATAAGAATTAGTTTTTCATTTCATTTTTTTTCCGAGAAGCACTTCTGTTCAGTGTTGTGTTGACATATACAACTAGTGTAAAGCTTTTCAATAATCATATGGCAAAAAAGTAATATTATTAATGTCAATAACTATATTTGAATCGCTATTTGTGCAATAGAATTACAGTATGCAGTGTTGCTGTTGATAGCATTTTATTAATATATTATTGTACAATAAATGATTAAAATTATTGCAATAGTTTAACTATATTAAGTCAAATAAGAATTTTACAGATTTCAGTCGCATTTGTATGTTTTTTTCATTCACTAATCGTCTAAATATAAAAAATTACTTGTCCTTGCTGACTGACTGGGTCACTGCTTCATCATCGTTCAAAGCAAACCGCTGAACCTGAAAAGGTGAAATTTGGTACTCAGTTAGATTACGTCATTATAGCGCACACTAAGTAACTATTTTTCGGAATTATTTTGCGGTAGAAAAAGAGAAAGCATTAACCTAAAGAGCGGCTTCTACTGTACTATTTTAGATGCGATTTTTTGTTTTCTACTACGTTTAGTTTTCATTTAGTACTTAAGTGTATTAAATTGTAAACATTTCAGACATTGTTATAAATATTTTTATGTTTTGATTTTTTTAACCAAATGTTCGAATTGTTTTAAATTCGAATTTGTTATTGCATATTGGTTTGATTATAGAACAATTGTAAACGTTACAAAAAATTGATCAAATTAAAAATAGTTCGTTTGATTTTCAGCAATTCTCATTATTTTCAGCGATAGGTGTTATATAACGATTACTATGGTTGTTGAAATACTGAAAATAAATAAGATTTGCTTCCAAAACTTTTACGGTACTGTAACAGTCGCAGGTAATAGTTAGTTCTCTATATAAAGAATAAAGCTATATTTGGCAGCACGGCAATAACGGCTTTCGTTTCGCTTCATATTCATATCCGTTTATACGGTTTTTACTACTATGACGACGCATTATCGCTTACGAAATCATTCATTTTAAAATAATTTGGTGGCTTTCTCATCTCGAAATAGTTGGGAAATTCTTAAAACAAGCCACCTTAATATTAATAAATAATAAGTTACTGTACTATAACGCAATTAAATAACGCAGGCAGAAACATCACAAAATATTGAAAATTTAAACGTTAAATATTACATATTTGATAATCTATCTATCTATATATATATAATCAAGAAGAATTTTATCATTTGGAACAGTGATTGGGCTAGTTTAAAATTATCTAAGACTTTTCCCCTGTAAGATTTGTTTTCCAGAGGAAGATTTAATCTTAGTTTTCTTCTGTCCCTACTCCAGCTACGGTCTTTATCCCGCACAAACCTACTTCTTACTAATAGCACGCTCACAGGAAGGGCATATAAGCCTTGTTCCCTGCAAAGAAAAAAAGGAAAACAAACACTAAAACTTTTCCAGATATCTGTATGAATCAGCGAAGATAGAAATTGCATTGAATTCTGATTAATAAATTTTTTATCTGTTTCACTTGGCTCTTCCAAGACTAAATCCTGAGTGCTCCACTAACTAAAAGGGCCTAGTTTTACTTATCGCAAGTTGAAAAATCCCGGAATAAAGCCGGCTGGACGGTGGGATATGTAGCCTAACATATCTGAGTTGATTTTTCTTCGAAAAACTTAAATCATCTCTGACTTAAATCTTGGCCAGCCAGAATAAGCTGAGTGCCTACACTTTAGGACAGTAATCGTAGTAATGTTAAAGAGTGACGTCGCTATTAGGGTGCGACTATGCAGACGCGAGCGAGCGAATTTTCCGAGCAAGCGAGAATATGTGGCGAGAAGAGGCGAGACGCGATAAATATCAAAACCTGTCAGATATGTGTGAGAACCAGAAATTCGCTTTCGCTAGCGTTATTTCTCGCTTCTCGTTTGTGCATGATTTTCCTTTGCGAAAACTAAATCGCTCGCAACCTCTCGCTCGTTCTAAATTCGTTTCTGCATAGTCGCACCCTTAGTGAGTAACAACATGGCGGACTTTCTATAACGGAAGGCGCCACGGAAGATAGAAAATACGGCTATAACTCGGTAATCTGTTATGCACTTTTAACGAAACTTGTTTTATTTTACTTCTATTTTTATTCGTTGTGTACGATTCTTACCTAAAACAAATAATAATAATTAATTCTAAAAAGCGAAAATGACATTAATTTGCTTCGCACCGAATTTCCATTTAAATATGTGCTAGATTATTTCCGTTTCCCCATCTAAGTATAGAATGTGGCTGAGGTTAAATAAACAGTTTGGAAAAGACATGGCGGCAGCTGTACTTATAACCAGAGTCGATAGAAATACTGGTCCAGCTGCTGCCAATAGTACGATACTGGCGTAATAACTATTGGACGTGGCTATTTATACATACAGTATGTATACAAAACTTACTATTTATGCATACAGTATGTATAGTCAATTGGCTATTTATACATATTGACTGTATGTTCCTATATTCCGGCCGAATACTGATGTATGCGCTATTATCATAATTAATTAACATTTTGATAATAACTACACAATTATAATTAATTATACTTTTATTTATTAAAGTTCAGTTACAATGTTATTCAATGAAGTAATCAATAAACTATAAAGTATCATAAAATCAGTGAAATATAGGTAATGAAATATAAAGCAGATTAATAAGTATATCAATAAAGTAAAATAAACATATTTTTTTTAATTCTGTATTTTAATTTTTTTTTGTAAAAAGTGGTCTGCTTAGTCTTTCTCTTCGGACGTCCTTTTGATTTAATTTTAGTTTTAAATTTTAAGTTTTTATTTGATTAATTTGAACAGGGCTCGTTATTAAATCAAATTTGTTCTTCAGGATCTGGTTCAATTGTGTACTAAGCGCACTAATCTCGTGTTCAAAAAGAGAAATTCTATTTCTTGCATTTTTTTATTACTTTTAATTCCTCTACATATTTATTGAAGGTTTGCGTTTTATAATTAGACAATATATCTGTAATATTTTTAGCTATTGCCAGTGCTGTATTAAATTTTTCCCTATCTGATAATAATTTGTTGGGACAATCAAAATTATCAGTAAAAGTTTCATCTTCAATATGATCATCGATGTCTACATTTACGTCATCTGTATCCATAGTTAGTACATTTTCAATTCAAATAATATATCTTGCATGAAAGCAATTTCTGAAAATATATCCGAATTATTATATTTTATCATAAAAATATGACGACATGGTGCATTAAAAGAATTCTAAAATAAACAAAAACATGTTTCCACCGATGTATTATGAAATTTTGATATTTTGCTATCAAGATTTTTTTTAATGCCATTATTTTTAATTTTCATTTCTCGATAGTCGATATCGTAATTTGGATATTGATAATCGAAATTTAGGATATCCTAAATTATAAAAACCATTAAAACTGTCATCTTTACTTCGTGGCTTTAAAATAGTTAAATAGCCAATTGAGTGAACATATCACATGTATAAATAGCCACTTTGAAAATTTAGAGGTAAATAATCGTCGGAAGAAAAAAAAAGTGTATCCTAAAGTACAGCATATCTCACATTTGTTAGTAAGCAGAGAAAAAAATGCTACAAAATAATACAAATTTTATAATAATTGATTTCCTAAATAAATAAGTAATAGGCCTATTATGAAAATTTAAATGTTGCCTCCATTATTATCAGTAAAATTTTTTTGAGAAGTAAAAATTCTCAATTTATATTATTTAATGATAATTATAATCGCAAAAACCATGTATTTAATTTAAACACAAGTTAAATACATTAGTGTATGAAAGAATTAAAATTATATAGACACAATTTAAGAAAGAAAGTATTTTTAAATTAACAAACCTATTTTTTGGCTGCAAAGAGTTGCTTTTTATTTCGCTAACGTTTTCAGCTTTGTCTAATAGACCATCTACAGATTGAAATTTATTAGAACATCTTAGCAGTTAAATCAGGTGTCTCCAAACTTTTTTAACCGTCGACCCCCAACAACTTTCCAGAACCTCACATTGACACATTGACCGCACTGTAAAGTTTTATTAGGAGTTCAAGTGTTTGGGTAAAAATAAAATAAAAAAAAAAAACATATTGTGATTTGCTTATGAGCAAAAAAGAACCTTTGTGAATTCTACTTTCAATTTTTCCATTTACCTCAAATCAAACCCTTAGCCGCATCGACCCCAATCAACCCCCTGGCCGCATCGACCCCCGATAATGTTACATCGACCCGTGGGGGTCGATATCGACCACTTTGGCG